TGATCCACACAGCAACCCTGGGGGGGGGCAGTTACCCCATTTTACAGATGAGAAAAGCAAGGCCCAGAGAGGTTGACTGATGGGCTCCAGGGTGCACAGTGAGTGACTGAGCAAGGACGAAAGCCTGGGACTGCTGGGTCCATTGTTCAACATAGTCTGCAATTACAGGAAGGGGAGGAAGTAGATTTTTAATTTGATTCTCATTTGCATATGCAAGTCTTCTCTGGAAGGACTTAAGAGAAGCTAGGCAGAGTGTTTGCCTCCTGGGAGGAGATGGTGACCAGACAGGAAGGGTGGGTGAGGATGTGGAGTAGGGGTGGGAAGTACACTCTTTACTGCTACTCCTTTGTAGCTTTTGAAAGAATTGAAGTATGTATTACCTCTTTAACAACCAAATAAAAGGTGATCCAATTCTTTCCTTCCAGCAAGCTGTCTTCGGGCTGTTTTCTGTAGGAACTGGGAGCTCAGGCGAGGGGGGTGGGCAATGGAGTTTGCTCTTCTCAGGTGGAGCACCAGTTGCCCCAGCAGCCCACTCAGGTTAACTTGGGGGAGCCTGTGCCCCCACTTAGGTGCCTCCAGTCTCAATTACATGCTGTTTTTCAAGCTGAATTGATTTCTCTGCTCGAGAGTTTCCTCTTTGGTCTCACTGGTGTCACTGGCTCCTGGTTTTCACTACTGGATGAAGGGAGGATGGGGGCTCTGAGGACTCTCAGGAAGGCTGAGGGAGGAGGGTGTGAGCAGCTTGCCAGGCCATGCCTGCCGTGTTTATCCAACAACCTTGGCCAGGCTTCACTTCCCTTCTTGATGAGACAGTGCGGTTTGCTCTACAGCAAGGTGATGAAGAGATTGTTCTTGCCCTGCCTACCTCATGGGGACCCCTGTGCACATGCTTTGAAACCACAGACGTCCAATGACGTACCAACAGGCAGAATCATGCCTCCTTCTCACTATGTATTATGTACAGGGCCAGTCGGCCAGTCTAGAGGCCCTGTTCTTTGTATTTTTAAAAAGATTTCCATTCCAAGTATGTGTGTATATGTGTACATGCAGTGGGATGGAATGAACCTGGGCTATGGACCCAGAAAGACCTGGGCTTGGCTCCCAGCATCATTGGTTGTGTGACTGGGGGCAAGTTGCTTCACCTCTCTGAGTCTGAGTTGGCTTTTTTCCATCTATAGGATGGCAATAGAGAGTGTAGCAGGCTAGTAGGATGGTCAGATGAGGGGATGTCTATAAGATTCCTGGTACCAAGGATACACACCTCAGACCCCAGGACCTCTGCTTTTTCCCCTTTCTCTTAGCTTGTTGGGTACATTTAAAACTTCAACCATTCCTTTTCCCATTATTGTAGTGACACCTATTCATTGTAGAAAATTTGGAAGAATCAAAAAAGCATATAGAAGAAAATTAAAATCACTGGCCATGTCACTATTGAAGGATCACCACTGTTAACTTTTGAGTGACTGTCCTGCCAGGCTTATCTGATATAAGTTGAATATCCCTTATCTGAAATTCCTAGGACCAGAAGTGTTTTGGATTTCAGATTTTTTCGGATTTTGGAATATTTGCATATATAGAATGAGATATCTTGGGGATGGGACCCAAATCTAAGCATGAAATTCATTGATGTTTCATATACACCTTATACACATAGCCTGAAGGTAATTTTATATAATATTTTAAATACTTTTGTGCATGAAACAAAGTTTGTGTACCTTGAACCATCAGAAAGCAAATGTGTCACTATCTCAGCTATCTGTGTGGTATCATGTCAGTGCCCAGAAAGTTTCAGATTTTGGATTTTGGATTTTTGGATTGGGGATGCTCAACCTGTATGAGTAGTACTTAAAAAATAATTGGGAGCATAGTTTTGTGACCAGTTTTTTTCTTCTAATGCCCTGTGGTAAACATTTCCTTGGAGAACTTGACACTTAATATTTACACACTGCTGTGGTGTATGAGTTATTTTCACTATTGTAGATAGCACTGCAGTGAACGTCCTTATTTATACATCATTATGTGTGTCTGATGATTTCCTTGGAATAAGTCACTAGAAGTAGAGTTACCAAATCAGATGATATATATATACATTGCCACTAACATATTTTAAAATGTAGATAGTATGGTGGAGATAGTTTCAGAAATGTGTTCTTTCATTGAACAAACATTTATTGAAGACTTATTAGATGTCAAGTGCTGGGCCAGGCATGGGTGATACAAATGTGAGCATTATGGACCCACAGCTGCCTCAGGGAGTTTGTGGGATTGGAGAGAGAGGCAAGAGATTAGCCAATGAGCATAAAGTGAGGATGGACGGGGTGGACAAGGTCAAACAGGGAGGGCTAGAGTCTGAGGCCTGGGGAGGGTGTCCTGGGTTGTGATTCATTTTTCCTGGCTGGTCTCCCACAGATTATAATCTCTGCTGGGGTAGAGCTAGACCCAAACTTACTGGGAGCCCAAAAATCCAGTGTGCCCTGGCTGAGACCACCCAGGATGGATAAAATAACAGACTTTAGCTGGGGTCTGGCCAAATCTGTTGGAGTATTTGTTTCTAATCCCTGTACCACCTCTTAATTTTTGGTACTTCAATCTCCTCTCCAAGCCTCTGCTCTCTGTAAAATAGGGTTAGCAGCAGTATCTATTGCATTGGGTGGTTGTGAGCACAAGAGGTGATGCACATCAAGGGCCTGCCTGGCATATAGCAAGTGCTCAGTAAACCAGGGTAGGATTGGGGTTAGAGGGCCCAGTTTTCCCACCTATTCAGTGGGAGGTTGGCTTAGGTCAGTGGTTCTCAAACCTGAGCATGCATCAGAATCACCTGGAGGGCTTGTTAAAACAGCTTCCTGGACCTCACTCCAGAGTTTCTGATTCAGCAAGTCTGGGATAGGGCCCAAGAAGTTACATTTCTAACAAGTTTTCAAGTGATGATGATGTTGCTGGTCCAGGACTACATTTTGAAAACCAATGGCCTAAATCAATTAGGCCGTGGCTTTCTGGTCTGATACCTCTGGTCTTCTGCTCCCCACAATAGGAAAAACTCAGGAGGGAGCCCTGAGTTCCTTGATGGCAGGGCTTGTGAGTGATCAGCTTGCACTGCTCCAGCACAAGCACCTTTACATGCTTTTATGGGTTGAAATATATCCTGTCCAGAAGTTATTGAAGTCCTAACCTCCTAGTACCTGTGAATGTGATCATATTTGGAAATAGGACTTTTTCAGGTGTAATCAAGTCAAGATGTGATCATTAGGGTGAGCTCTGATCCAACGAGGCTCATGTTCTTGAGAGAAGAGACACAGACAGAGACATAAGTGGAGAATGCCATGTGACAATGGAAGCAGACATCAAAGTGTTATAGCTGATTGTCTGCAAACCACCAGAAGCTAGGAAGAGGTAAGGGAGGTCTCCCCTACAGGTTTCAGGAGCACCGTCTTTGATTTCAGACTTCCAGCTTCCAGAATTGTGAGACAATAAATTTCTCTTGTCTTAAGCCACCCAGTTTGTGGTTCTTTGTTATGGCAGTCCTAGGAAACTAATATACTGAAGTATCTTTTTACAGATACCACCAACACAAACCTTTTCAAAATCATACAGGCAGTATGACTCCCCCCACCACCCCTCACCAAATTTGGGAATGTTTCCTTTCACGCAGTCCATGACTGCAGTGAACATGATAGCCTAAGCAGCAAACTCTCATCTGCTGCCTTTTGACCTTCCTATATTCCCTGGGCGTATTTTATTATCCCTTATATTTCACCTGTACAACTGGAGAAGGAAATGTGACAGCATAAGCACCTGATGAGGTGGGAAAGCATCATGCCTCTATTTCCCATTAGTTCTGTTCCATGGGACCTGGGAAGGCATGGGAGGGTGTGCCCCCACCCTGTCCTAGAGACAGCGCCCAGGGGAATTGCATTCATCATTACTGCATCATGACCATCAAATGTGCCCCCTCCCTTGTCCCCATGCTATGGGATTAGAGGTGGTGATCTGTGCTCATTTTTGCCTTATTTCAGGCAGTCATTAACCTGAAGGTGCCTGTAGGGTCCGGGAGATTCAGGGGATGGAATCCTCACCTCCCTCCCAGCTGATCACCTGGTTCCCAGCCCCCCATCCCTCTTCCTCATGGAGTAACTTCTTTCCTTGACACCCATCCCCACAGGTCAGGGGCTCTTTTCAGGAAGTGGAGGACTTTAAATTCCTCCTTGCTTCTATGCTCACAGTTCTCACAACCCCACCCCTGCTCTTCAACCTCCCCTGACCACTTGCTATCCTTCACCCGACCAAACCGTCTAGCACCTGTGGCCTGTCATGACTTCTCTGCCTCCTAGAGATGGCACCTGGTATTCCTCCTGCTTAAAACACCCTTCCATCCCCACACCACATGAAACATTCCTGGAGAGGGGGAGTGGGTAAGGTTCTTCTGTGCCCCCCTCAGCACCCTGCTTCCCTCTATCTAGAGGAAGGCCACACTGTCTCGTAAGTGCTTGTTCCTTTCTCCTCACAAGACTGACGTTTTCAGGAACAGGGCCGGGGAGCAGCTAGCTTTGTGGTTCAAAACAGGCCCTCAGGGTGGGCTTTTCTTGAGAGGATGGGAGAAATAGGTGAAAAATAACTATCATCATAATGAGTTATTATTTATACAAGATTTTGTGTGAGTCTGGCCCCGTGTATTCAAGATCTCATTTAAGGCTAAAAGACACCTGTGACCGAGACCCATTTATCCCCATTGCACAGGTGAGCAAGTGAAGATTCGAGAGGTAAAGGGCAGATCTCACAACAAGTCGTTAAAATCCAAGTCTGCCTGACTTCCATCGAGTCCCTCACAGTTACTGCACAGACTGAGGGAGGAACTCGTAGGCTAGCAGGGCTGGGGAATCTGGGCAGACCGGACGGCCAATTCCAGCCCGGCTCCCCGCGGCGCCGCGCACGCCCGGGCCCGCCACTCACGCGTGCGCAGTGCAGCGGCGGCGCCCCCTGCGGGCGGCGCGCGGGAGGCGGTGGCGGCGGCGGAGCGCCCAGTGCGCTTGCGTGCGTGTGGAGCTGGTGGCGGCGCTCGGTAGGAGTTCTGCTGTTCTCCGCGCCGCGGGCGCGGCCATGGCGCAGCCGGGGAAGCTGCTCAAGGAACAGAAGTATGATCGGCAGCTAAGGTGAGCTGGGGCTCACCGAGCCGAGGGCTGGCCGGCGGGCTTCTCTGCGTTCCGGCCGGGCCTAAGCGCCCGGGTCGCGCGGTCGGGCCTTCCTCAGGCCTCCCGCCAGGCCGGGCCGGGCCGTGCGGGGCGCGGGGACCTGGCGCTCTTGTCTCCCGCCAGGGGCCGGGGTGCTCCGCGAGGGCCAGGATCCCCTTCCCCCAAGGGGCGCGCCCCCCAGCGGTGTGCGGTTCGAGGGGCGCGGTCCCTAGCATCAGCCGGGTCGCTGGAGCGGCCACCGGCCCCACCTCGCTGCGCCGGGGATCCTAGTTTTGCAAAATGGGGGGGATCGGGACCCCATCCTGGCCGCCGAGAGCGGCACCGAGTGTTATGTATTGTTCTAAACCAGCGTTGTCCAATAGTAAGGTAATGCTTGTCTCATGTGAGCAGCATATATAATTACAAATTTTATAGCAGCCGCATTTAAAAGGTAAAAAGAAACAGGTGAAATTAATTTTATAATATGATTTATTTAATCCAGTATGTCCAAAATATTACCATTGCAACACGTAATCAATATAAAAAGTTATTGAGATAATTTACTTTCTTTTTCATACTGCCTTAGAGGTACGGTATTTTACACATACAGCACATCTCAGGTAAGACTAGCCTCATATCTAGTGCTTAGTAGCCACATGTGGCTATGGGCGACCGTAATGGACAGTGCAGGCCTGAACGGTCAGACCGGTCCTCGGCTACTTCCCCACCCTTGTCTTTTTGCCTTGCACTTTATTGAGCATCGTCTTTGTGTTGAGGCAATGGGGATAACAAAATTCCTTGGCTTGCCTCCTTCCTGGAGCCTCTGAGACAAGAGAAGTTATAGTATGTCCCTGGGGACTGGAACATCCATTAGCACCAGCAGCTTAGTGCTTTATTGGGGGCGTTCAGGCACTCAATTCTGAGAACACCCTTTAAGGCAACCATTACCTCTGTTTTACAGATGGGGAAACTGAGTCTTGGAGAAGTTAGTTAACTTGCCCAGAGTGCTCCATGTTTTTGAGCCAGGATGTAAACTCAGGACCTTCTGGCTTTTTCAGAGCTGGTACTCGGTCACGTCACTCTGCTTCCAAACTTTTAGGGAAAGAAACAAGGTGACAGAGCCCTTATACCCAACTTAAATTTTCTTGTAAATTCTTGGAGTTCTTTTGTTTTGAATGCAGATATAGCCATATATGACAGAGCTGAGATGATAGTCGAGGTTAGTAAGCAAATGTAACAAAAGAGGGTTTTTGCTGAGTCCATTCCGGTTTAAGGACCGAACTTTACCTTTCATAATGAGAACTGGTTATTGGTTTTGAAGTGTCAGAGGGAAGCAGTTCGAAGCAAAGTCGTTTGGCCAAGCAACACTCAGCAAGGCCCTGGCTCTTCTTAGTTAGGCCAGCAAGAAAGGATTGATTTCTTGTTTGGCTTCTTCTTGAAACATGTTACCTAGAGATGCACCAATATTCTTGGTTTTTTTTTTTTTTTTTGGATGTGGAGGATCTTGATATGTTGCCCAGGCTGGAGTGCAATGGCTATTCACATGTATGATCAAAGTGCACTATAGCCTTGAACTCCTGGGCTCAAGCAATCCTCCTGCCTCAGCCTGCCAAGTAACTGGGACTACAGGCACATGCCACAGTACCTTGGCTTGAGGTGTACCAGTATTCTTAAATTCAGTCTTTAACTACTCAAGCATTAGCATTTATCAACCGTATATGTCAGGTATCTTCTGTGTGTCCCACTTTCATGGAAAAACAGATGCTTATCGTCCATCCAGGCTATTCCTCCATTTATTTGACAGCTGGTTAGTGATTACCTACCATAAGCAAGGCACTGTGCCAGGCACTGGGGCTCTAGTGGTGAATGTAGGGGGTGGTCTGGGCCCTTATGGATCTTATAGTGGAGTACAGAGATAGATGCTTAGCAAACAAAAGAACCAAATGAGGCAGTTGCTTGTTATGTGCTCAGGAGGACATACTGGCTGCATAATAAGGGATAATCTGCTTTAGATCAGGTGACAAGTCACATTAAAGTTGATCAGTCCTCTGGACTGCTAATACCTATCTGACTATGGCAAGTCTCTAATAATTTGAGCTCCCGCTATACTTCTTATACTGACAAGAAAAGATAAATTAGTTAATAGGTTTTCTGAGGGAAGGTAACCAGATTGGCCCAGATGCCATGATACGTGTCTGATCATGTACCTTGCCCTGTTAATATGCCAGTGTGAATCAGGTTATAACATACATTCTAATTCTTACTACATCTTTGTGTTAATGTATGTATCTGTTAATCGTGCTTTTAGAATGTTCATTGGTGTTAGATTTTAAAGCACTCCTGTAGAAGTTGATGTGAATCTTTTCAGATAATTAGTTTTTTTGGTAAAGCTTTTGCTCACTGTTGCAGATGTCACAGTGATAAGCCCTATGTCAAGATCTTAAATGCAATGGATCCGTATAACTTAAGAAGAAATGAAATTAGAGAACAGACCAGATTTTAAGTCCAAGACACTTCTTTAATGTTAATAAGTATGTCTAAAGACTCTGCGTTCTGTAAGTTATCTGGTTTGAAAGAGTAATGGATAAGGAGCGAGATGACCAAGTTTCTAGTTCTGATTTTACTCTACCCTGGGCCCGCCAACCATGCAAAGCATCAGCCTGTCCGAGTCTTAGCTTATTTCACTGTGCAGTCCCTACAATAACATCTGTTCCTGTTTCCCATGTTTGCTGTGGTTGTCACATCAATTACTCTATGCAAAAACACTTTAAAGATTACTGTTCAAATAAGAAAGTTGTATTTTCATGAAAGTTTTGAAAATGTTCAATTTGTGTCTTTTTTTGTAGGTTGTGGGGTGATCATGGGCAAGAAGCTTTAGAATCTGCTCATGTTTGCCTAATAAATGCAACAGCCACAGGAACTGAAATTCTTAAAAACTTGGTACTGCCAGGTAATGTAGTTTTTTGGTTGTGTTCTAAATTTACTTCTTTAAGGTTTTTACCTAGAAATACGTATTCTTGACTGACTCTGTTTTGTCTCCCAGGTATTGGTTCATTTACCATTATTGATGGAAATCAGGTCAGCGGAGAAGATGCCGGAAATAAGTATGTTCTATTCTTTTCAAATATATACATATTAGGGAAGGCAGTGCACTGTCATGGGAGGGCAAGTCTTGCATCCTGGCTTCACCTCAGTCAGGGTGACTTGACTGTCTGGTGGATATCATCCTTGTATTTGGGATCATGGTGAGAAGGGAATGAGTTTATATAGGTAAAGTGCTAGCACAGCATCTGGCCAATAGGCTGTTAATAAAAGGTACCTATCGTTACTGCCTTAATTGTTATTAATATAAAGGAATAGTCATTATTCCTTTATTTGTGAAATCTGGACACTTTCTAAACCCTTGCATTGATTCCTAGGTGTTAGTATATAATTAACAATAATTGTATTTTTGAATCACAGGAATAATAAAAACAATATCTTTTATTTGTGGTCTCTTTTAAGCTTAGTCCCCATATATCTCTTTCTGTACTGTCTCTATAAAAATGCTGTTTTAAAGGTGACCTGTGTGTTCTTCTTTAATGATTATCATATTTAGACTTTGAGAGCATTCCCAAATTTGGATTTCAAGCTCACCTTTTCAGGGACTTGGAGTCTGGGATCTCTCATTGTATTTGTCAGTAAACAACAACAATGAGTAAATATAAGGAAAGCCAGAATTTAGTTCATATTTAGTTTCGATATCTTCTTTTTGGTGTAGTGCAAGTTTCTGCTATCCATAGCATAGCCCTGTAATTGAAATCTATCAAGGGAAAGATTTGTTATCTTTGTTTATTTGTTATACAGCAGGAGTTGTACATGGAACACTGGTTCTAGGGAATGTTAGTAGCTGTTAAATGGGCCAATGGTCAAATCAGTTTGGGAATGTGTCAAATGAAGTTAAAATTTCTTTATCATAAGGGTTTAATATCATATATATTATTTATATTATGAATTTCCTAAAGAGAAATATAGCATATGGTGTTTCCCTAACTGTTTTTAACCAAGGCACCTTTTCCTGTCAACATCTTGTATACTTTGGGAAACATTGATTTATTAGCCTATTTTTTTTTTAAATTTTTTCTAGAGATGGGGTCTCACTGTGTTGCCCAGGTTGGTCTCAAACTCCTGGCCTCAGGTGATCTGTCTCAGCTTCCTAAAGTGCTAGAATTACAGGCATGAGTCACTGCACCTGGCCAATTAGCCTATCTTTGTTTATAAGTTTCATCCAATTTTCTTCCTCCAGAAAGACTATTATAATCTGTAATCAAATATATTTGTTTTATACTATGAATGAAATATACATGCCATTACAAACAACTTTTCCTTTAGAGTTAAATCTTAATTTTTTTTTTTTATTCTGTCCACTTTAGTTTCTTCCTTCACAGAAGCAGTATTGGCAAGGTAAACAATCATTTTGTTATGGAATATAGTTGTGTATGAACATCTAGTGATGTCACTGTATTTTATTGCTTGAGAAGCTTTGACTTTATTTTTTAAAAATTATGGATACATAATAGTTGTAAAAGAGCTTTGACTTTAAAAGAGCTTGTTATTTCTCAGAGAAAAAAGTTAACTAATTTTTATAACCTTGTGAATCTATATGTTTGGTAGCTTAAGTATTTAGAAGTCTGTGTATTTACATTGTATCCTGTTTTTGTTTTTTTTTTTTTTGAGAGAGAGTCTCACTCTGTTGCCCAGGCTAGAGTGCTGTGGTGTCAGCCTAGCTCACAGCAACCTCAAACTCCTAGGCTCAAGTGATCCTCTTGCCTCAGCCTCCCGAGTAGCTGGGACTACAGGCACGCGACACCATGCTCAGCTAATTTTTTTTTTTTTCTATTTTTAGTTGTCTGGCTAATTCTTTCTGTTTTTTAGTAGAGATGGGGTCTTGCTCTTGCTCAGGCTGGTCTCGAGCTCCTGAGCTCAAGCAACCCTCCCACCTCCTCCTCCTATATCCTGTATTAAAGCTAAATCTTGGGTAACGTTAATATTCAGAGAGGAGTATTCTGGTTAACAAAATTTTTAACTAACAGTTAACCAGAACATTCTTTATCTTTGTATTTCAAATTGAAAATCATAAGACTGTATTAGTTAATGCAATATTCTCAGTAGAATTGAATGTGATTTTAATGATTAACCACTCTTGTACAGGATCGCAGATGTGGGAGGTTAGAGTGAGTCTGAACTTGATCCAAGATATCCCTGCCTGCTACCCAGAGTTTTTTGGTCATTTGCCTAATCAGAAAAGTAGCATGCAAATAATGTGGTCATTTAATAACTCTGGATAATAATGGTTTAGCTTTAAGTAATATTCTGGTTGAATCTTTGTTTAAACACTTCTTCGGGACTCAGAGTTGCATGAAGTTAGGATAGTTTTACAGTGTGTTTGCCTGATCTGTAAATTGGAGAATTATGTTGTGACCAAGTTTTTTCTAATTCAAGTTAAATGCTTTGTTTTTAAAAAGAACCGAGCTCAAGCTGCCATGGAATTCTTACAAGAATTAAATAACGATGTCTCTGGAAGTTTTGTGGAAGAGGTATATATATGTATACACATTATTATGTCTGTGCTGAAATAAAATTTTTTAATAAGGTCCTAGAAATTTAGAATTTTTAATCTTTGTATCTATCATTTGTGTTTAGTTGGAGCTGGATTTGTTGCCTCATGTGTTCTAAAATATCTTATCTATTTCTGCCATGTTTAATATGACTGTGAAATTGTTGGATTTTTTTTCCCCTGTCCTATTTAGAGTCCAGAAAACCTTCTAGACAATGATCCTTCATTTTTCTGTAGGTTTACTGTTGTGGTTGCAACTCAGCTTCCTGAAAGGTAAATTTTTATGTTAATATGTTTTCATTACGATTTTAGATTTGCATAGTTTTATTTTCTCTGCACTAAGATATGGTTTTTAAAATTCTTAAATTCTATAGAAACCTTTAATTTGAATCTCTTATACATCTTCTAGCATTGAAAAGATGAGGAAGAGAAAAATACAGAGATGTGAAACTTTTTTGGATATATTAAGAGCAGTTAAACTGAACATTGGTTATTTTTTTAGTGATTAAAAACTAGTTAGAATTGATTATAGGAATTATTTGGGGTTGTATACATGAGTTTTATAAATATTTTCCTCTATCATGGAAACGTTTAAAAAGTGTCTTTCATTAAAATTCTGCCTTAAACAACAGACTAGGGTTTCATATCCCTGTAGTCCAAAAGCTATACTTTCTTTGAGACTACAGCCTTGTGGAATTGCTTGGTTTTCAGTGTATTCTTGACCTGCTTATGTAAATGCAGTGGATATATCTTTGCATTTATTATTTAGTAAGACATTTGCTTTATTTTAAGACATTTTCATGTTTAGCATGTTTCATGTTTGGCGTATTTCCATTGCTTATGTTCTTATTTATTTTGCTTTTTTTTTTTTTTTTTTTT